CCCCAAAACCCCAAAACCCCAAAACCCCAAAACCCCTGTAAGACCCTACTATGCTGAAAGTAAGGAATATTTTATTCTTGAAACAAAAGATGGTTAGAAGAATTACTTTTCTTTATCAAGGTCCCTCACTTCCTTGCCTAGGTATTTGAGTTTTGCCATGATTTCACTACAAACATCCACAGTGGGGCACTCATATTTGATAATCTTGTCTTTCTTGGTCTCTTTGAAGCTGATCACGAACGTTTTAGAGTCAAGTCTCTCAATAAATCTAACAGTTTCAAGAGGTCTGCAAGACCTCTTGGTATCGTTAGGCTTGAAGATCTTCTTAATTATCGTATACTTCTTGCTCCTCTTCCTGTTAGACACCTTGTCGTTGTAGATGTTGTAGCCGTCAATTCCGAGAGTTCTGTTCTGGCGCTTGCCCTTCGCATTAATTTTAATGATCAGGAACTCTTGCAACTTCTTTGAAGTGAGTTCATTGAACAAGAAATCTTTGGTATCTCTTGATTTGTCGACTTGGCTATTTGAGGGTCTCAGGATCTCGATGCTCATTGACTCTGAGGATTCGCTCGTGGTATCTCTGCTCCAATTCTTAGGAGGATGGGCGAAGGTGTTCCTCTGAGTTCCTGCCATTGGCATAGTGCCCATCTTTATAGAGCAGGAGATGATCTCTTCTTTGCTGTAATCTCCAGTTCAGCCCAGGTTATCCACAAAAATCTTGGGGACTAAGTCAAGGTCAGTGAAGGGCAAGTTCTTCAAGCTCGTTTTGATATCCAAGAAGTTCTCGCTCTGCATCAGAGTCTCTTGTATATTTGGATCTTTAAGAGATTCTTCCTCATGTGGCTTGAAACAGTAGTGGTTGTCCCGAAGGTCAACATCATATTTATTTATTAATCTTCCTCAGTAAGTCTCTGAGAGTGCAGATTTTCGTATTCATCTCCATCTTAAGATCAGTTGAAAGGAAAGAAAGTTTTATGTGCACACTAAAGACAGTACGGGTTTTTGAGGTAGATTTAGATAACTCACTAAGGTCAGCAGCAACCTTAGGGGGCTTATAATTCTTATTATTAACAAAGGCTAGGGAAGTGAATTCTCCGACTGTTTCTGAGGGAACTAAGGCAGATATTTCATAAAATGGGATGTAATAGTCTTCATCATCGTCTATGAGCCTCAGCTCATAGGCTGCTGGATCCTTTACTTCAGATTTAGTAATGCTGATAATGTGCCTGATGATATCTATGACTTTTGATTTAGTGGAGGCGTGCACCTGCACACATTTCTTTGTGTTAAACAGATATATGTTAATCTTGATACTCGATCTATCTCCAGGCTCTGGTGTTGGCAATAAGAAATAATTCTCCTCCAGAGTTACATTCTTCAACTCTTTTGAGAGGATAGAGTCAATCTTGGATGTCATTGGGAGAGCAGATTTATCTAAAGGTGCGAATAGAGGGCCTGATGGCTTCTCTAATACTTTATCTTTATCTTCATTTTTACTGGACTCTTCAGCAACCTCTTCAGCAGCCTCTTCAGTATTTCCAGAACTTTTGTTGTTCTCTTGTTTCGCCTCCTCTTGGTGGTATCCTAAGAAGTTTTCAGAATCTTCAGCGGTTTGTTGCATATCAGGATGCGGGTTTTCAGATTCCTTAGTCTCTACTACGAGGTCTTCGTAGCCCATGAATCCGTCTTGAATTTTGAAGGTCTCTCTGGCTCCCTATGTAATTTTAGAGCTATGTATTGTAAGATTGGCGGCTCAGTATCGTTTGTGGTTTAATAAGCTGAAATGACATAAAGATTGGTGGCAAAAATTGCTTTGGAGTTAAACAATAGTTGTTTTATTTTAAAGAAAATTCCAGATCTAGTATGCGATTTAGGCTGGAAATCATTAAGAGCATCTAGAGATAGCTCAGCTCAGATTAATGCACAAATTGTTTTGAAGGAGATGACCTGCACAAAATTTTCATGATTTGAAGCTAACGTTTTGTCTAAAGAGGCTTCTTTGAGAGTCTAGTTTTAAGGCACAGGATAAGAGAAAACTCCAATGATTCTATAATATACCCAAATTAACCCCAATGATGGATTACATTTATCTAGATATATGAATCCATAGAAGATTCTGGCTTTGTAGGGGAAAGCATATTGGCTCATTAAAGCTGACGTAATCTTTAATTCTAGGGAGAATACATTATGACATAAGTCTCCGCCCCTAATAAGAAGCTAAAACTTCTAACTCATTCTGGATTCATCAGGATTTGCTGTTTGTAAAAATAGAAAGTAGTGCAGTCATCTTGACCAATAAGTTATTTGCAATCTTAGTTCATTAACTCAAAATAATTTATGTACAAAGGTACCTACATCATTGTTTTCTCGGGAAGCTCCAAGATCATCAACGTCGCCAAAGGGTTTGAAGGAATTATCGTCCCTGCCTCGGGGTTGGGAACCCTATAGCAAGTTTACTAATGCTTAAAATATATAGGTTACCTCTTTATCATCTCCAAGCTCAGGCTCTTGGGATTCGTAACTCCCGTAATTGTCTTTGTAAAAGTCTCTGTTGGCCATACTTCCTTGGATAATGCACTCATCCTCATCGTAGGGGTTGAAATGGTCGTAAACCTCCATATTTGGATTAGTAATTTCTTGGAAGAGGAACTGCTTGCCAGTGAAAGTTCCTTCGTAGCCTGTTTCTTCGGCGAAAGCATCCATATCTCTGTCTGGGTCTTCAAAGATAGGAAATTCTTCAAGGTAGTCTAGAGCTGTGTTAGGCAATAATTTCAAAAATCGCATTTTGGATGAGGGTTAAAGGATTTTTGGAGATTCTTGGAGATTTTGGAAATATCTTGCTGAGAAATTTAAATGTGCTCGAGAGAGATATTTTTATGGTTTTCTTCAAGAAATTTGACCAGAATTGATGAAGAGAAGCAAGTCCAAGCTTTGAGATATCAGGATGGATTAAGAAACCTGATTTTAGAAATGAATTGGATAAAGATTTTTGAGAGGGATATGTAAAAATTAACAATTTTCGAGAATTTATTATATTTAAAGCAAAATTTAAAGTCAAGAGCATCCTTAGGACGTTCATAATCTGGTAAAACTCTTATTCAGGGACTATTAACCCCATCCTTTCTACTTTCTTTTCCAAGCAGCTTGTTCAAAATTCAAATATAATCTGAGCCAGTTAGGGTGATTGTTTGAGATAATCTAATATGCCTGTGATTCCAAAGGCTCTTTGTCCTGCCAGATCCTCATAACAACTCTGAAATACTTACCAGGATTCATATTAACTATAATGTCTCTTGATTTCTTACAAAAAATTTAATAAAAAATGTCTTGATTGGGGTTTTGGGGTTTTGGGGTTTTGGGGTTTTGGGGTTTTGGGG